CCCCCCCCCATGGGGAAAATCAGCTTCAACAGTGGAAACTAAGCAGCAACCACATTTCTGTGCAGAGGGATTTTTTAAAATGTCAGGGTATGTGTCTGGCTCGCTCTGCATCTTTTCAAGATTGCTTAGATCTTCAGTTTACTCTATGTTCTATCATAGATGGTCCTGAAGAAAGTAGCTTCTAATAGGAAAAAATAAGTCTTCTGAAATCTCATTCCCTAATTCAGAATTTTTGCTAGAATATTCCCATTGTCATGGATAGAGACCAAATGTAGAAATTAAATTCTATTTTGTAGCCCTGGCCAGTGTGGCTCAATTGGTCCCATGCACCAAGAGGTCACCAGTTCTCAGTGGGGGCAAATGCCCAGGTTTAGAGGGTTGATACCCTGTAGGGGGTGTGCAACACTCAGCCAATCCATGTTTCTCTCTCCCTCTCTCTTTCTCTCTCTCTCTCTCAAAAAAAAATCAATAAAAACATATTTTTAAAATTCTATTTTGTAGCTTCCTCTTAAAAGTATATAGCCAATTTGGAATGTTTATGGTTAGAAGAGATACTATCTAAATTAATTTGGTAAAACATTAGGTAAGGCCCTAGCCAGTTTTGCTCAGTGGTTAGAGCGTGAACCCGTGGACTGAAGGGTCCCGGGTTCAATTCTGGCCAAGGTCACGTACCTCGGTTGCAGGCTTGACCTCAGCCCTGTTTGGTACGCATGCAGGAGGCAACCAATCGATGTGTCTCTCTCACATTAGTGTTTCTCTCTCTCTCTCTTCCACTCTCTCTGAAAAGCAATGGAAAAAAAATATCCTCAGGTAAGATTAAAAAAAAAAGAAAACATTAGGTAATAATTTCTCTAGTAAAACTTCTAATCGAGTCTGTTATCAGGTGGCAAAATGAGCAGGTTTGAAGTTCGTTCACTCTTTTCCTTCCCACCCACCTCTAACCAGCACTGACTTACACCCAGGAAAATGTCTGAAGACTAGAGAAGGGAAAGCAGGCAAAGCAAAGCTTGTGAAGTTGTTTAGGCCCAAAATGAGACTGAAAACGTAGGTGGAGATTCTAATTTGCAAAGGCCCTAAGTGGAGGTGGGGGATAAGCGAGGAGGGAGGAGTAGAAATATACTTCCATACGTGTGAAAATCAGGTAACTTCAAGCAAAATGGTTATAGTAAAAGATAAACCAGCACACACACACAGAGGCAGCTCTGGGCAGCGCCTCCTGCTTGCAGTCTGCTGCAGCCGAGCAGACACCTTCAGTCACATGCTTAAGTAAAAAGGAAAGTTCCAGCAACTTCTACTCCTAACAATACAGAGCAAATCACTACCCCATTCAAAAGTGGTTCTCCTCTTTTTTTTGGTTTCAATTCATTCAAATTCATTTTCAGCAACTGGATTATAGGACACTGATATAATTTTTCCTTGCACAAAAGGGTGAGAGCTACTGTTACTTGGCATGTGGACAATGCTTGGTGGTTTTCAGAGGAAGTTTTACAGGCATCTACACTCACAGTTGGATGGCTATTGCCACTTTCGTGTCCCAGATGAGGAAACTGAATCTCAGAAAATGTGAGTCAGTTGTCTACAAATAAGAGTGCTCTCCACAACCACGTATCAACACTCAGGGATTCCCATCACTCAGATCCTACAAGAGCGGTGGATACAGTATACCCCAGAATCCCATACTGCCCATAAATGTCATTCCCATCCTCCATTATCAATATTCAGAATCTCTGCCCACCTCTTGTAACTGAAGTATTACTTTTCGCAATTTGTATCTTTAGAATAAAACTAACTAAACAGAGCTAAGCATCTTCTTGCACATAGGCCACTTACCAATATAATTCCTAGCAGTATTTGCACATTAATAATGGTCACCTTAACCACAGCCAATATATGCACATAGTTCATTAAAGACAAAGATAAAACAGAACTAACCACTTAGTTTAACTCTGCAGCATTCCTGTCAGGTTACAGCTATGAAATACCAATTTCCCTCCATCACTCAACTCACTCATCTTTCATTAATATATTTTAACTTTTGGTTTCATAAATTAATGGCAATTTGGTAAATTTTTTAAAAGCATAATATATCCAGTTGTTAAAATCCTAGAATGTTTCAGCTTTCCATTAGTAACATTTTACATTTCCAGTATTTTCAATATTAGAAAATATAAGAATGCAAAAGCTTCTAGTGTATTGGGATCTACACTGCTTCACCCTTTGGCTAGACAAGCTCAGCTTATAGTAACATGTGTGAGTGTGCATAACCCTCCGGAACTCAAATCTACCTTCCCTCAGCTTCATATATAAAAACACTTCCTTCCAAAAGGAAGGTGTGCTCTGACCCAGGTCTGCTTGCGGCTCATCGGAACTGTGTCTGGGCGAGCAGCACACAGAGTGGCAGGAGGACTGGGGAGCCTGCTGACAGTATCTGCCCTGCGTATTTCCATCATGCGGGATTTTGGCCTCAAAAATTTCAAATAATTGCATCCCAAAATGTAATTATCTAAAACATGTTATTTTCTTTCAAACACAGTCAAAATTAGTTGTCTAGGCAATGAATCCTAAAACTTAAAAAAATATATTAAGTAAATCAATACATTTCTTACAAGAACCCAGTAAGTTTAAAACGCAGACATAGTTTACCTTCTAGCCACGTGTAGAATGATTCTCCTTTAAAAAAACACACACATATAGAACTGGGTTAAAATAACTTAAACAGTTATTAGAATAAATTAAGTCTATAAAATATGAGAGATTAAGAAATATCCAGTTTCATGTGAAGTAAAAAAATAGGCACATGGTTCTAGAAAATAAAGCCCAAAAAGAATTAAGTATTGAAAGAATGTTCTTATAAATGATATTTTGACTAGTAAAATTTTTGAGAAAATATTTCAGTCAAAATATTATCTAAATCTTATTCATTAGAATGCATAAACAACCAAGGGTATGGGAGGAGAGTTTAACAATTTTAAATGCTCTTGATGATAACTATAGCACTCTTTTAAAATTCCAGAAGAAAATAGTGGATTATAATTAAGACAAAAATCTAATTATTATTCTATTTTTCCTGATTCAGTAAAGGTAGGTATATGTACTCAATTTTCTAAGACTACTAAATTTCAAGGGATAATTTTTTTAATTCCTTTATTTTCAAGATATTCTTCAGAAAAGCTACTGACTAAAACACAGAGGGCCCTGACTTCTCTGAGCACTGTTGCTATAGAACTATTTCTAGACCAGCACTGCTGTTCACTGAAAACAAAACGGCAGCCAATAAAGATCGAAAGAGTGAATGCACTTCCAAAGTTCCCTATCCTTACTTTATTTTATTTTAATTAAGAAAAGCATGATAAAAAATTCTCAACACAGGTGAGCTGAGTAAGAATCTAAGGGATAAATTAGATGGTGGGAAATTATTGTGCCTCCTGAGACTCTACACACTTTGCAAAACTCCATCTTCCTACAGATTCATTCACTCAACATCCTCTTACTAAGGATCATTCATCATCATCTCCCTTTTTTATTCAAAAAACCCCCATGCTAACAGGAAAGTCTAGCTCCCAAGGTTCTCAATAATGTGGCCTCTACCCATCTTCCTAAACTACCCCATACAAAGTCCTTCCTGCCGCCCACAGGCCTCCCTGCACATGCTTGGTTTTCCCTTTGTCAAAGCCTTGTCCGCACCGTCTCCTCCAAACAGCACGTACTGCCCGGGTCTGCGGGCCTAAGCTCTCCCGCATCACTCCAGTGAGGTGCGGCGTCTCCACCTCTGCAGAGCTCTGGCCAACTGTCTGAGCTATGCCTGAGTGGTCGGTGCTTCTCATCACTGTGGACAGAGCTCATCCTTCCTGCTACAACGCTCGTCTCCTAGGGGAGGCGACACGTGTTATGCATCTTTCTGCACATCACAGTGCCTCTGAATGTCCATTTAAAATAATTATTCATTTGAAATAGGTATTTTGGCACTTTGGGGGCATCTTAAGACTGATGGTCAGTAACCCAGAGTAACCCACTGTTGTTGATAAGTTAGTATTACTCATCAGATTAAGTACCATAATGATGACTGAGGTTATACGTTTCAAAGTCAGTAAGAAAATACATGTCACAAGATACACTATCTGGTCAAACTAGTACCTTGACTTCCGTTTCTTCAGAGTGTAACAAGTAGATTATTATAACCAGAAAGTGGAGAAGTTGGAATGTGATCATGGTTGCTACACTAAACATTTAGCAAAAATGACCTTTATACTTTTTTTAACATAGGGTGACTTTATATTATTAAAAAATACTCATTTTTGTCACCATCCATTGGTAGCTATGTTCTGAAAAAATAAGATAAACACTTTCTTTGGAATTATAGGAAAAAACAAATTTTGATCATTAAAAACATTTCCTCTACTTGAAACCAAAACACAAGAGTTTAACTCACCATCATCTTCTCCTGAAAGAGAAAATAAAAGACAAGATTTTAGAAAATGTGTTACACAACTCAGATTCTAATCCTATTAATTTTAACACAGGATTAAGCCTAACTGTGTGTTAAACTATTAAGTATACCATGAACCTTGGTCAGTGTGTCGTTATCCTGCAAATGAAACTTCTTAAGAATATAGGCCAAACAGTACAAGATTTTCACGTTTTATACAATAAATGAGAAAGCAACTAAAAATAATCATAAAGACCACTAGTTTCAAAGATTAACAACTGTACAAAGCCACTGCTCTAATCATCAGGCACAGGACCCTCCTGAGCACTGCTGTTTCAGGCCGGGATACTTCTGTCTTAAATTACTGCTCCTTGGCACATACACACCTTGACAGAAGTGCTTCCCAAACTGTAATCAGCGAAACCCTCGCTGCATTTCACATCTGCAGAAAGGTTCTGCTGTTCAAACGCTGTTGGGGGCTGGCCATGGAAGCCTAGAGTCCTGGCTCAGGAATGGCCTGGAAGAAGCAGTCACGATACTGGAGCTGCCAGTCAGCGGTTGGCAGTGTCAGTGGAGACAGCACTCAGTCAGCACCAGCAGGAGCAGTTTCATTGCTTCACGGGGCCCCTTCTCTCTCACCTAATCTTCTGTCCCGCTCTTTCATATTTCTCTTTCCTTCTTTTCGCCTTTTCTCCTGTTTTTTTCTATAGAGCACTTTCCTTCCCTCCTCTCCTCCCCAACAGTCTCATGACTCTGACTTATCATAATATGGAAGTGAAGTATTTCTTAGGACTTGATGGTTTTATTAAATGAACAATTATATTTTCTGCTTTAAAAGTAAGTGATCATATTATTCAGCCATCAAAAAAGAATGAAATCTTGCTATTTGCAGCAACATGGATGGACCTTAAGAGCATTATGCTAAGTCAGAAAAAGACAAACACACTATGGTCTCAGTTATATGTGGAATCTAAAAACAAAAGAAAACCAAAACACCAAACTCTTAGATACAGAGAACAGATAGGTGGTTGCCAGAGGCCAGGGGGGAAGAGAGTGAAATGGGTGAAGGAGGTCTTATAACAGATCTCCAATTATAAAGTAAGTCAGTCCTGGGACGTAATGCACAGCATGGTGACTACGGTTAATAACACTGTATTGTATATTTGAAAGTTGTCAAGAGAGTAGGTCTTAAAAGTTCTCACCACAAGAAAAATAAATTTGTTGCTCAGCTGTCATGGCTCAGAGGTTGAGCATCAACCTATGATATAAGGGATCGGGTTCGATTCCTGGTCAAGGCACATGCCCGGAGTTGCGGGCTCGATCCCCAGGGGGGCTGCAGGACACAGCCGATCAATGACTCTCATCAATGACTCTCATCACTGATGTATCTCTCTCCTCTCTCCCTCTCTCTCTCTCTCTCCCCCTTCCTCTCTCTGAAATCAATAAAGACATTTGAAAAAAGAAAAAAACAAAAAAACAAATTTGTAACTGTGTGGTGACGGATGTTAACTAGACTCATTGTGGTGATCATTTCACAATAGATACAAGCAACAAGTCATTATGCTGTATACCTAAAACTAATATAGTTATACATCAATTTTAAAAAGTTTTGTAAAATTCTAATCCTTAAGGGAAAAAAAAGCAATCAAACAGAGGAACAGTCTGGAAGAACACCTTCCGAACCACGTATGGTGGCAGGTGGGGGTAGGGGTGGAGAGCATTCCCCTTTTATGTTATGCAAATTTTGTACTGTTCTAATTTTTAGAAAATCTCGTGAAATAAAAACATTTAAGTTGAAGACAGAAAAGTTGTGAAGTACAAGAGACAAGGGTAAGGAGCCATGCGTGCCTGCCCCATGATCCTTCTGCAGGCAGGGTGAAAATGAACTTGGGGAGGAATACTTGCCACACTGATAGAGCAGGCCATTCACTCAACCTTCCTAATCTCTCTGGTTCTCAGAAGTACACAAAGATATAAACCTAGATCGGGAAGTTCAAGTTCTTATATCAACCCCGGTATGAAGAAAACACTGGAATGGCAAGACAAGGGCAAGGGTGCTCCCAGGGGTTGGCTCCTCCCAAGTAAGAATAGATGAGGAGATGTTTTATACTGAATACCTCCCACTGTCTACAGCAATGCCGTCCCACAGAGACACAATGCCAGCCGCATATGTAGTTTAAAATTTTTTCTAGTAAAATTTTTTAATAAAATATTTTCTAATATCCATAATTTCAAAAGCAGTGTACATGCACTATAATACAACAAGAATTTAAGCAGTCCTACAAAATAAAGTTCTGTTTAATTGCAAAAATATTTTACACTGCTTTTTCAGTTTAAATCAACTACATTTAAATCAAATGTAAAATTTAGTTTTATGCGAGACACGTATCATGTGCTCAGTAGCAGGACATGGCAAGTAGCTGCCTTCTCAGACGGTGTGGGTTCAGAGTGGTGCTTCAGGCAACCTAACTTCCCAAAACTGCTCTGCATCTTGAGACTCAAAGTGTGGTGCACAGTCAGCACCCTGGGCATCGCTGGGAAGCTGTGACAAGCTTGGGCCTTACCCAAGACCTACAGAATCAGAACCTGTATTTTAACAAGGCTCCTCGGTGATCTGTAGGCACACTAAATTTGAGAAACACCGCTGCATACTAGAGTCCTGGAGAGTAAAGATTACCAACACCTGGGTCCAATCCCAGAAATCCACTTAATTGGCCTGGGATAGGGCCTGGCATCCAGGATTTTAAAAGCTCCCAAGAAACTGCCGGTATATGGATTACTCATATATTCTAACTAATTTTACATAAAGCTCCTAGTTTAGGGCCTGGCACATACCAGGTACTCAATGAAAACATGTAGAAATCTTGAAACTTAACTATGGGCATTTAATATACTTTTGATAATTCAAATTATCAAAACATAAAACAGTTGAAAACTTTCTCAAATTAAGTTTAGTTATAACGGCATTTTGTAAACAATCTCTAAAAGCATGAAAATGTATTAAAAAACCCACCTCGGCTGGGCGCCAGAGGATTTAGAGGACGATAAACAGATCGAGGCCTGAAAAAGAAACCCCCACAAAACTCAAACATAAAATAATGTGAGTTTGTTACAGGATTTTTTCCAACAGAAACACTCTCTTCCCTCCCCTTCCCTCCATCCAGCCATCCTTCCCCCACCCCTCTAGTTACTTGAAACAGTTTTCTTCGTAGATGCTGTTCCACACTCTCCACGCAGACGGCCCTTTGTAGCCAGTGTAACGCTCTGGGTTCAGCAGCAGGTCCACATACTGGGCAGCTGGAGACCTCTCATCTAAATAAGAAACAATTCGTAAACCATCCCTATTTCACAATTATCTCAAATTTAGCATTGCAAAGCCAACAGGACTACCACAAGGTTAGAGAACTGCTACACTTTTCAAGGAACCTCTGACTTAACCGGCAGAGTGGCTGGACTTGTGACTGCACTGGACCCAGGATTTGTGGTAACCTGGTTGGAAGAGGGCACACTTCTCCCTCCTCTGAAGTCATGTGGAGCCCTCGCCTTGCTAGAGGCATCCACTGTCTTCAGTTTACCACCAGGACTGAAAAGACCTGGCAGAATCACTACTTGTTTTAATATTTATTTTCTCTCTTCCCTAAGTATATACCTATCCACACACATGCTTGGAAACATTTATTTTGTAAGCATGTATTATATTCAAACTAGAGATCCTGTTACTCTCCACTTTTGACTTATGATGTACATGGCTCAATAATGTGATTCAAATTTGATCATTCCTAGGCTTACACATGGTCTAGTTTAAAAAAAAAGTGACTAATTTATTTTTACCAATGTTAACATATTAAAGTGGTTTTTTTCCCTCTCAAACTAATACAGTAGGCACAATTTCAAAAACTTGTTAAGATATTTAAAATTAAATAACCATTTTCCATGTTAAAACCTAAATGACCGTTTACTAGATCTCCACTGTTTGGATACATTTTAATAGAGATCGCTGAGGGCCCCAAGATAAAGAAAAATGGTATTTATTACTGAGGCTCACATTCTAGGCAGAAAGGGAAACACATGCTCTCATACTCATAGAAAAATTATAACATTTGTTCAAAAATGTATAGTCATAATGCATAGAAGCTGAAGTGCTATATGTTGGCACTGATATATTCCTTTATTCATGGGCTTCCTACCTACTAAATGAATAGTATGTGAGCACCTGACTTAAAATAGTGGCCAACCCGGCGGGCATGGCTCAGCAGTTGAGTGTCGACCTAGGATCCAGGCGATGGGGTTCGATTTCTGGTCAGGGCACATGCCCGGGTTGTGGGCTCGATCCCCAGTTGGGGGCGTGCAGGAGGCAGCCGATCAATGACTTTCTCATCATTGATGTTTCTCTCTCTCTTGCTTCCTCTCTCTGAAATCAATAAAGATATATTTAAAAAAAAATAGTGGCCAAATATGGTCATTAAAATATTTAGTCTCTCTTCTTTTCATCACCTGATAGTGTATTTTCCTGTCAGCCAACATTCATTACCACTCACTGACCACAGACTGAGCTAATCCATAATCATAAGGGGAAAATGGCACCTGATCCATGCCTTCTAAGAACTACCTGGCACTTTCATGATATAGGAAGAGTACAAAGAGAACTACAACTTATCACCACTAAGTGAGCTGTGTCAAACTTAAAGACAATGGAAACCTGATTTGGAGAACATCGGCTCTATTTCTAGCCCTAACATCTGGCTACCCCACTCTACAAGGTACTGGAAACAGTTAATTTACAGATGGATGAACAGACACTGCCCAAGGTCAGAAATTGATTCAAGACTTAAAAACTAAATAAAATTTTTTAAAATTCTAATTTAAAAACAAAGATTCAAATTATGAAGTTAATAAAAGTATGGCTTTTATATATAGTAAAATTCCAACAAAAGTTTACCAATTCACCAGCTTTTGTAATATATTTTTAATTTCTTTGATCTGTTCTTGAGTAAATTTATTTGCAAAATTAATTCAACGATGTATATAAGCTTCAAAATTATTAAATATTATTAAATATACATATATACTGACATACAAATCTATGTACACATGCATAAAGAGTGTGTGTGTGTGCGTGTAAGCCCACACATATGTAGGGCCATCTATGAAAGTGCAGACTGGATTAGTATCAACATTTTTGCCAACAAAAACAACCAGATTCAGATATTAAAGTATAAAGATTTAAAAATAAGAGCAGAAGAATCACAGAAGCAAAATAAATTATATCAATTTATAATTACCTTAGGTAAAACATACTTTCTCAAGGTTAACATGTAGTCCCTTAATTCAATCAAAAGTTGTTCAATAGCCCTGGCTAGTGCTGCTCAGTGGTAGAGCATCAACCCGTGCACCAAAGGATCTTGGGTTCGATTCCCAGTCAAGGGCATGTATCTGGGATGCAGGTTGGCAACCAGTCAATGTGTCTCTCTCACATCGATGTCTCTCTCTCTCTCTCTCCCTCCCCACTCCCAGGCACTGGGGATACAGTTGTGAACCAAAAAGGCTAGGCCCTTGCCCTCGAGTGGTTGGATCAGACAGACACGAACTAACTAGGTAACAGGCCAGGCACTCCCAGGTAGTTCTCTGGGTGAGCAGGTTGCACGCAGAGGCAGAAGGCGACTGTGGTTACCATTTCACAAGGGAGTGACAGCAGGCTTTCATGAAGTGACATCTGAGCAGAAAGCTGAAGCAAAGAGGCAAGCCACGTATAAAGACAATTAAAAAAAAAATTGAGAGGGGTTAGGGACAGCAGCTTACCCTAAACTGCTAAATTATTTAAAAACCTACTATTTGATCTGTAGGGATCTTCTTCCTTTCAAATGCTGACAGAACTAAATAGCAGAGCACAGGGCTGTATGATGGGTTCCAATGAACTGGGTGTATTCTTCAGAATTTCTGTTTTAGTCCAATGATTTTAGAAAGTGAAATAACTCAGTGACTTGAAACAACCTTCACAGTGTTTGAATCGTACATATAAATTACTGGGATGCACATGACTGTTACTACCAAGAAGAGTGGTCATCCAGCCAGGGGCATGGTGCGTGTTTAAGAACTACATAAAATATAAAAGCTACTAATTATTATGTATTACAGGAGGCTAATGTTAAAACATTAGTTAACACTGTTTATACTGATGACAAGGAATGAGCACATCACTTAATAATAGAGAGTGGTCCCTGAGTAGTACTCTTTATTAAATAAATACCTATAAGACAAATAAACCATAATGATTTATCTGAAAACCTGTTAAATAAGCACTGTTGAAATTTTTTTATTTTAATCAAATAGGTGAAATGAGAAGCTGGAGAGCAGTGACTGTAAGTGCTACACACTCAGCTATAAACGAAATGACAAGCAAAGGGCAGGTGAAAGAGTAAGCGGCAGTGTGCACTCAACCTGGGCACCACAGCTTCGATGAAACCTCTGCTAACAATTCTATGCACCATTATAGGGGTATTTTTATTAATTGCCCATTATTATATCCAGATAACCCAAAGAAGCTGTTCAGATTTCTTAAAAATTTCCTTGCTGAAACCATATGAACCATGGCAATAACACTGCATCTCTCAGCATCTTCTCAATTTTCCAGGCGATTAAAGAAGCTCGCTGTCAACTGGTCCACCACAGCCTGGAGTGACAGCATAATTGAGGAGTCTTTAAAAACCGCCAGGAAGCAGAATGACCACTCCAGATGCTTCAAGTGTTCAGAAGAACGTTTGCTGTCTGTACCAACCCTACTTGAACCCCAAGTTCTTTTTCTCTACAGAAAATACTAAGGTAAAAGGTGAAGAGAGAGGCCTAATGACTAATTTAAGCCTACTTAACACAATTCTTGGGAATATTCTCCTATAGATAAAAATTCTGAGTCACCTCAATTACCTTCTGTTAAGAGCAGCAGCATCCTGTACTTGTCCCTTTCCAGGAGATCTGGGAAGAGGGCTGTGGGGAAGTAATTAGTCTTCCCTAATATTGGAAGGGTTGTTGAGACCTCCAGTGCTAACATGTTTATAGTATGTTCACAGACCTGCAGCTAAGTGGCCTGAATTGGAAGCCCACAGGAGACAGACTTCATAATGGAAAGATCACAGGCCTTGGATTCAATCAGATCTGGGTGAGATCCTGTGATCTTGGGCAAGTTACTTGGGCTCTCTGAGACTGTCCTCAGACATAAAATAACATACATTTCATAAGGCAACTGTAGAGATGAGAGGAATGTACTTAAGGCAGTTAGCACAGGGTTGGAAGAGAGGCTCTCAATAAATGCCATCGTGAACAAAAGATCCACACAGCGACGTGCAGCGCGCTACAGCTGTAACTGCTGATACAGTAATTGATTTCAATGTCTTATAAAAAGGTTTAAGTAAAATAATGGAATTACAACAGTTTATTTCATTACCATCAAGCTCACAGAAGTGATCCTGTGAGTCATCGTATCTCGCCCAGTCGATGAAAGCCTCTTTGCTTTGATTACTATGGGAAGGAGGAATAAAAAAGAAAACGATTAGTTTGGAGTTGAAATTTTAAAAAATATATCTTTATTGATTTCAGAGAGAGGAAGGCAAAGGAAGAGAGAAAGAAAGAAACATCAATGATGAGTCACTGACCAGATGCCTCCTACACGGCCCCTACTGTGGATTGAGCCCGAAACCCAGGCACGTGCCCTGACCAGGAATTGAACCCTGATCTCCTGGACTCTAGGTCAATGCTCAACCACTGAGCCACGCTATCCAGTCTGGAGTTAAAAATTTTAACAATGTATTCTAGTAATTAAAAATAGATAACCTATGCCCTGGCTGGGTGGCTCAGTTGCCTGGAGCGTATTCCCACATACCAAAAATAGCTATCCTGAGGTCTCTTCTTTATTAATCAGATAGTGTCACAAATTCAGCTAGTGGTTACATGAAGGAATGGTTAAAACAAGGTACATGAAAAACAGGTATCAATATTAACTTCCACAGATACTACCTTTTAGTGTGCATCACACAACATTATCAAGGAAGCTCCAAGTAGCACAGTTTGTAAAAGTAAAAAATTTGAAACAAACTAAATGTCCATCAAGTAGGGGGAATAAATAAGTAAAATGTGGTATATTTATATCATGAAAACTATTCATCAGTTGAAAAGTGAGACAAATCTCTGTTTAACATGGATAGATCTAGAAAGCAAAATGTGCAGTGTAAAAAGAAAGTTTCAGAATGTTAAATACATATAGGAAAAATAAAACTATGCACAAAACTATATACATATATGTAGTAAAAACAAAATATGAACTGGACACACACCAAATTCATGACAGTAGTTACCTTTAAGAAAGAAGGAAAGAAAACACGATTGAGGGCTAGAACATGGGGGATTTTAATATCTTTTATATTTCTCTTTTCTTAAAAACAGTTTCAAGAGGTAGAAAATGTTAACATTTATTCACTGGAGTGGAGGATATGTGGGTATTTATTGTATTTCCCTTTCTAATTTTCTATACTGAAATGCTTCCTCAATAAATAAGATAAATAAAATTGCTAACTTTATTAAGTCTATAACAATTGTAGTACATAAATACAAATCTAAACAGACAGGAAAATTAAAAATAATTTCTGTACTATTCCACTACATATGTTCAATCATTTTATGCTGCATAATCTGAGACTACTTACAGATTTTTATGTTGGCCCTCAAAAGCAAGTTTGTACTTAGAGCAAATGAGGAAAACTCAATAGAAAGAAAAATCTAGGAAATTTAATGGTTATGTAATAGTAACTTTTATCATTCAAAATGTAACATAAATTGAATTACTATTTATAAAAGACTGAGAGGTTCAAGTTCCTTTTCCCTTAATAATCAGGAAGAACAGACCCATAAACCCCACTAGCTGAGCAATCTTCTAAATGTTCACTTTTTAATAGGCACTCATGATGATTCAGAAATTTAAAAACAAATCAGCCAAGAAGCTGCAGCAAAGCTATCATGAAATTTACGGTAAAGAATAACCTCTTCCTTTTAAAAATTAGTTGAAACTTTTATGTTTTTAAATCACAAGAAAAACAGGAGATTTCTGATATAAATGATAGAATTTTTTTAATACTACTAAAACAAAACTTACCTTAATGTGCTGTTAATTGCTCCCAGTTTACTAGCTTGCTCACAATCTTCAAATTCTTTGGTATTGTTTGCCACTTTCAAGTACTGAAAGGAAGTTCATAATAAACTAGTTTTAGTGATAACCATCACCTCTCCTCCTTATTTCAGGCTCATCTGGCAGTGATGATATACACTAACTATAGATACGTCCTATTACTGAAATAGGTAAGAAATACAAATGAAATGAGTCACAAATTTCTACCTAATAATTAAGTAAAGGCAATAAAAACATAACAATCAGGAAGCTGCTGCTGATGTAAACAGAGAAAACCCTCTTGGGAATGTAATTTGACCACATTTATTAAGAGCTGTAAAAATGCATAAACCCTTGAACCAGCAGTCCCACTACAGAAACCAAATCCAGAGCAACATTTAAAAGCAGAAACAAAAACAATGTACAACCACTTTCAAAAGTCATCTGGTACTATCTTGTGATGCTGAGATAGGCATCCCCCATGGCCCAGCAACCTTATTTCTACTTACAGACTCAGAGAAACTTACATGTGTGCACAATGAGACAAAAGACAAAGATGCTACGGCATCACTGTTTGTAATAGCAAAAAAAACCAAAGGCAATTGAAATGTCCATCGATACAGCACATGATATAATCATACAACTGAATATTATGCAGCTGTTAAAATGAACTAAACTGACATGTATCAACAGAGACAAAATTTCAAAGGCTTAATACTCTGTAAAAATATAGACTAAAAAATGTTTTTAATTTTAAGAAGTACAAAAATATAGTATTTAAATTTTTTAAAAATTTCATAGAAAAAAATCTATTTATACTGTGGGCACACGTACAATAAAACAAAGTATAAAAATGAAAAGTGTCACAGAAGGATACACATGGACTTCAGAAAGAGTCTAGCTCTGGGGAGGGAGAGGACACAGAACAGGGTTGGGAAGGAGTCCAGAAGGGATTCCAACTGTCTTTATACTGTTTGTCTGTCTACTTGAGATCTGAAACAAAAATAAATAAAAGAGTGAACGTGAACGAAAGACCGGACGAGGGAGAGCGCCAGAAGAAAATGGAGAAATGATGGTGCATCATAAGGAAGCAGAGGGGGAGGAGACGAGGACCTTCCCGTGTATGCGCAACAGTGGAAAACTGCAAGAGTACTGTTATCTAAAATCACGTGAGTGACGGCAAATTACGGCACGCTCAGAAGAGGAAAGGGTAATCTTTAATAAAGAAATATTTTCATTCCATTTAAAAGTACTAGGCTCCAAATATCTCGATACTTGTTTACTCTGACCAACCTAATCCTGAGTATGAGAGGCAGGCTGCTGAAACACTGCAAACGCGCGAGAAAACGCCTGCTGGGGAGGCCATCCTCACCGTAGCAACTCTAGATCTTACAGAGGTTCCAAAACAGAACTCTGCAATTTTAATTGTAATAATGTACAACCTCTCTGCATGCTGCAGGAATTAGGAATTAGGGAGTTTAAGGCAAAATGTACCCATTCCCAACCAGCCATGCTGCTGCTCTCTTCTGCAACCTCTGGTGAGCAGCTGGCGAGCAGTAAACGTCAGTTTCACCACGTAAAGCAGAAACACTCAGGAAGAGCAACTCACCTTATTCGATCTCCCAGCTTTAATTCCGACTGGAACTTTACTCTTAAAACAACAACAAAAAGTTTTAAAGCAATCTTCACTTTTTTGAGATTTCTTCACAAATTAACAATGCTATTGCTCTAATAGAAAGCCTATTTTATTCTATGAGGAGAAAATGTACATTCATTCAAATTCCATAATCATACTACCTCTTTAAGGTAAAAGGTAGAGTTACACCGATTTAGACCAGTAAATCATAGGATAGGAAACTGAATGACATACACAAAATCAGCTCTAATTTAAATGCTCAATGCAGTATTTAACAGTTTATATAATTTTTAGGTATATAAAATGAAATCATTTCTTCCATAAACTTTCTTACCACAGAAACCGAGCTTTAAAAATTTCAAAATTATTTGAAATATGTTATGCTCAATTTTAATTTCTGCTCTAAAGTGACATTTAAAGTTTAGGCAATTTTGGATTAATGTCGATGGCAAGAGTAAGTTCTTTGGCCCAAATGATTAACCTAGAGTTTATCAACGGAAGAACTGCATGTGGGTTCAACTTTTTTCCTCAGCTGAGGAGTAAAAGAGATGAGGTGCGCCATGCAATGGATGTTACTCGGCCGCAGGAAGGAAGTCCCGATACACGCTGCCACAATAGGATGAACCCCGAAGACGCTACGCTAGGCAAAGCAGCCAGTCACAAAAGACCACGTGCTGGAGGATTTTATTTACAGGAAACATCCGTAAGAAGCATAGAAACACAAAGTGGATTAGTGATTTCCAGCAGCAGGAGGGACGGGGAAATGGGAGTGGCAGCTAATGGGAAGGGGGTTCTTTTTGGGGTGGTGAAAACGTTTATAATTTAGACAATGGTAAAGGTTGCACAATTCTGTGAGTATACTAAAACCACAAAATCGTACATTTTAGAAAGCATGAATTTTATGGTACATGAATTATGTCTCAATAAAGTAGTTGTTAAAAAAATAAATAATAGCCCTGGCCTGTTTGGCTGAGTGGTTAGAGAGTCGCCCGTGGACTGAAGGGTCTTGGGTTCCATTCCCACTCAAGGGCACGTACCTCGGTCACAGGTTGGATCGCGGGCTCCGGGCAGGAGTGCATGCAGGAGGCAACCAATCCATGTGTCTTTTTTTTTAAGGCTGTTTTTTTTAATATGTCTTTATTGGTTTCAGAGAGAGGGAGAGAGAGATAGAAACATCAATGAAGAGTGAGTCATTGATCAGCTGCCTCCTGCACGCCCCCTGCTGGGGATTGAGCCTGCTACCCGGGCATGTGCCCTGACTGGGACTCGAACCTCGATCTCCTGGATCCTAGGTTGATGCTCAACTGCTGAGCCATGCTGGCTGGGTCATGTGTCTTTCTCACATTGATGTTTCTGTTTCTCTCTCTCTCTCTCTCTCTCTCTCTCCTTCTCTCCTCCCTCCCTTCCACTCTATCTAAAAAGCAGTGGAAAAAATATCCTCAGGTGAGGATTAACAACAAAAAAACCCCAATAATATATTAATTAAAATAATAATTAGAGTTCATACTGACATAAGCATACTAATAAATAAATAAATAAATAAATAAATAAATAAATAAATAAATAAATAAATAAATGGAAAACAAGAAAAATCTCTTGCTTACAGTAGAATACCAACTAATAAACGTAGAAAAAATGGAATCAGAAAATCACTATTTGGCCCAGCCAGGCATGGCTCAGCGGTTGAGCATCGAACTAGGATCCAGGCAATCGGGGTTCGATTCCTGGTCAGGGCACATGCCCGGGTTGTGGGCTCGATCAATGACTCTCTCATCATTGATGTTTCTATCTCTCTCTCTCTCCCTCTCCTTTCCTCTCTCTGAAATCAATAAAGATATATATTAAAAAAAAAAAGAAAGAAAATCACTATTTGGCAAACATCACATAAATAATTATTTCAGGCAGGAATCATCAATGAATGCTAAAACTATAATGGTAAATGTAAGATGAAAAATGGGAAATTTTCAGTCTCAAAGATTTTTTTCCTATTTTACAGTGAAGAAATCTGGCAAATACCATCTTAACCAAGTGATGAAGATGACATCATGTGACTCCTACTCTGACACCTTGAGGAGGACACAGGGACACAACATCACTTGTATGGTATACCAACCAAAAGTTCATGGCCCAAATCTAATAATTAGAAAACATGAGAAAAAACCACAATAAGGGTATCGTACAAACAACTGGTGATTGGAAGGGAAAGAGGCAGGGAGGGAGGAAGGAAGGGAGGGAAAATTCAGGACGTTGGAAGTAAAGAACCCCTGAGGGACTATCCAGGTTACAAGAAGACTGAGGAGACATGGTGACAAGTTCTCCAAATGCTTTAGGATAGGAAACTTTCCTTTTCTATAACGCACATTATTAAGTCAGTTGGCAATACATGATTAAGGCCTATAGATAAGACATCAGTGTTATATTAATGCTAATTTCCTAGTTTTGTTAATTATGTTGTGATTAGGTAAGATAATAATCTTGTTGTTAAGGAAATACACACTGAAATGTTTAGGTGTAAAGGATCATACTGGTAACTTATACCTACGTGGTTTAGAATACAATACTAATAAACATATACATATAGAGAGCAAAACACAGCAAATGAGATAAACACTAACATTTAGGGAACCTGAATAAAAAGTCTATGGGACTTGTTTGTTCTATTGCAACTTTTCTGTAGGTCTGAAATTATTTCAAACTAAAAACTTAAAAAACGCACTATATTCTTAAAGGGAAATGAAGATAGTATCTTTTTCAAATGTTTCTCATTAGGAAGGACATTTGTTCAGATTTTTTTTTCATATTTTTAAGGAAAACAAACTAGACTGGTAGGTAAGAAAAGCAAAAAGTGAAATGAAAATATATAGCTAATAACTTATTTCTGATGAAAAAGAATTAATTATGCCAGATGCCAAAAACCTAAATTGAAAATGTAACATTCCATCACTAACAGTGTGGCCTTTTTTCCTATTATAAGAAGACCAACCCAAGACCTAATTCCTGAAATTTTCTCACTTTATGCACTTTTTCATTCACACACTAGATTTGAAATTTAAGGTTTCAGTAGCATTTTCTTTGCCTATGAAACAAGACACAGATTCACGAAAGCGTGAAACAAGAGTCAGCCAACTGTAGATCCTGTCCCAGCACAGGCCTCTGGTTGTATTACCTCTGGACAAGGCTCCACATGGCAGTCTTTTATGGAACAATGGCCATCTTCTGCCCAGAAAGGACACGGTCGCTTCAGATTAACCTTGAGGGAAAGAATGAATTAACATGAGCAAACGTGTCCCAGTTCACTGTCACCATGCTGGGCACCAGGGACACAGTGTGAGTGAGGAGCTTCCTGTCCCGAGGCTCCTGTACAGTTAAGGATTTAAATGACTGCCATTCTCCAGACACCCAGATGTAATATTACTTTTTAAAAATAAGTGATGCTATTAGTCCTCTGACACTTCAAAAAAGGAATAGAATCAAGTGCACAGCTCATCCTGAGAAGTGGAAACCATTTTCAGACTCCACACCTCAACATCTTCCAAGGTCTCCCAAGTGCCCATCACCTAACAAGTGTGCGTGAGCCCACACTATGTGTCCGTGCTGGGTGGGCTCTAGGGGAAAAGGCAGGTAAAGCACAACCTCCCCCCCCAACTCACCCTCGACTGGAAGGAACAAAAATTATATATTTGTATGTTTCTTTAGTAAAAACTGTGGTGAGTGCTACCAAGCAGAATGCAGACCTTTCTGATGGAAACGATGGGGCCGGAGGCTGGTGGCCTCGGAGGAGGTAATATTTAAGGATGGATGAATGACGGGGCAACAAACGTGTTTGGCTAAGGTGACAGAGCTCTGACACTGCTGAGGACTGAAAACAACGAATTCCCTGACTTTTGGTGGGGGAGGGGAGAATGGCAGGGAGGGAGGGACAGGTCGTGCAGGGCATTTTAACCATCGTAAAACCTCTGGAATGTCGTGTTCTAAACAGGACAGGAAGACAGTAACAGGACTTGCAGATGGATTGCTCAAGTCAAAGACCACAGTCTTTAAACTGTCGTTTCCTTCCTTTTCCATCCCCTTGGCACCCCTTCCGCTGCCACGGTTCAGTTCTCGCCTAGGCTACTGCACGTCCCTCTGCTTCCACTACCTTCCATCCTTACACAGCAGCCACAACTGTCTCTGAAACCAACATCATTCAGATGTCGATCCCCACTCAAAACCTTCCTGTGGATTTATTCCCAAAGCCTGCAGCCAGCTCACCAGGCCCTCTGCCACCTGGCCTCCCGTCCTGCCACATGCCTCCAGCCACACCAGCCTTTCTAGTGGGCACACACAGTGCTCCTTTCTGTCCCAGGGCCATTACAGAGGCCGTTCTTTGTTCCTCCAGGTCATCTATGGCTCACTCCCCTCACCTCTTCTGCTCTCCACTGGACAGTCAAAGGCACCTCAGACTTACTAACGTGCAAAGCTGGGCTCTTCCCTCTAGCAATTCCTGCCATCTCAGAAGTAGAACCTCCATTATCCTAGTGCCTCAAGCTAAAATCGTGGCATCATTCTTATTTCTTCTCTTTCTCACCCCACATACACCACCTCTGAAAATCGGGTCAGTTCAAAATCCAAGTTCCTACACTGGCTGAGAAGATCCTGTGTGGTCTGGTCCCTGCTCTCTGCCCTTGTTCACTCCCAAACACAGGAGGCACCCTATGGCCACCGGGCCTTTGCTCCTGCTGCTTCTATTTGAAAGCTCTCTCTCCAGATACCAGATGGCTTGCTGTCTCACTCTCTTTAGGTCTTCAAATACCACCATCTCAGTTTGGTATTTTAAGTTGCTAAATCCCAGGCTAATTTTTTATGCAGCAATAGATAAGGAACACACAGGGAAGGAGTGGGCTGTAAAAGACACTGCAACCTGCTGCTCAGACCACCCGTCAGGATAAAGGGCTTCTGGATGTGTTGCAGGCAGAGAGCCACTTTGCCCAAGGAAGGCCACCCACCCCACCCAATGACTGGTGTGGCGACATAAAGGCCTGGACCCTCCCTCAAGTGGGGACAGCTCTGTCCCCACCATCTTAAGAGCTCTCCTAGGGGGTCACCAAGGTCTCCACTGAAGCTGCGTCCCAGCCTTCCTTCTCCCTCTCCCCACCTTGACTTCCTTCCTCCCTTTTCCTCCTCTAACTCGTCAGTTCCAAGAGCAGTCCCTAATTTGCCTCTCACACACTAATCACTGTCTCAGAACTGGCTTCCTAGGGGACGTAACCTGTGACAACTTGTCCAGCTCCAGAAAAAAAATATTGGTACTTTTAATAGGATCCCATTAAATTTATATATTAACTTGGGGGAAAATTACCATCTTCATGCCACAGAAGACACCTGTCCATTGGTCAAGATTATTTTTGTGTCTTTGAGGAGTGCTCTGGAGCTTTCTTACTTCAGGTTTTGCACATTTCTTCATGCATTTATTCCTATATATTTTATCTTTATTTGTTGCTAATGTAAATGGGTCTTCCTCTTCTATTAGATTTTCTAACTTGTTACTGTTTGTAATTATGAAGATACTGATTTTTGTTTATTAAGTATATAGCCTGCTACGCATTTTTTATCATTTGTGTTCATTTTATTATTTCCTCTGAGTTTTCCAGGTATACTTTTGTCCTTTACAAGTGAGGCAGTTTTACTTAATTCTTTGAAAATGTTTGTCTCTAGTTGTTTTTTCTCATTTGACTTACTGGCTAATCCTGCCAACAGTTCAGAGAGTGGGTGCCTTCTTCCTGGCTCTTGGCCTAAGTGAGAATTCCGTTAGTGTCTCCCCAGAAGTAGGACGCTGCCAGTGCTAATGTTGGGACTGAAACGATCATGGTAAGGAAGTACCCATCATTCTTATTCTATCGAATTTTCTAAACATCAGGAATGTGTGTTGAAAATCTAAAAGATCATCTTGGAACAAAATCCACTTGGTCATGATACAGTTTTTGGTAATATGCTCAAAATGTAGGCATGATGTTTGATTTCACTTCTACCCTCACATTCAACCATAAGCAAAGCCTGTTGGTGTTACCTTCTACATACGACACCGAGGGATCATCCTTCCCCTCTTCCAACTCTACTACCCTAGGCCAAGCCCATACCCTTTCACCTGGACAGCCTCCTAAATGGTTTCTATTTCCCGTCTCACACCGTTCGGTCTCCTGTGTACAAATCTCTCCAGTAGCTCCTATCGCATCTACAATAAATCCCAGCATTCTCATGTGTTTAGCAGGGCCCCCCAACTTTTTCTTCTGGCCCCATCTTCCCCTCCAGCTCTCCCTCTCTCTCCGTCTACGCAGACCGCCTTCCTCCTCAAGCTCTCTTCCTGCCGGCAGCTCTGGGCCCCTTCCCGGGAGTGCTCTCCCCCAGGCACTGGGGCTTGTTACTCTTGCACATTAGAAAGGTCTCTGCTCAAATGGCCCAGCGTGAATACCTTCCCTTCCTGCCTACCTCTTTTCAATGGGGCCACGATGTTCCCCAGCCCCATTCCTCTATCTCCCACTTTGCTTTATTTTTCCCCATGGCCACTTATCTTACAACCATAGGCAATTACATTTAATTGTTTACTTGTTTATTGTCTGTCTCTCTTTTCAGAATAAAAGCTCCATGAGGTCAAGGTCATTGTCTTGTTCAGCACTGTATCCATGGCACCTAGAATACAGCCTGCTACTAACTAATCATTCATAAATACTGGGTGACTAAAGAAATGGAATGGATAGTACAAGAGAGAAATTATAACTGCCAGCTCCAGCAGCCAGCCAACCAGTTGACAGAGGCATACTGTTACTTCTGCCTATAATTCCTAACTGCATAAATATGAAGACGTGTTGAAAATTAATCTCTTAGCTTTCCTTTTCTGCCACTATGATATATAGAGTATACTGGTTACATTTCCTTTTTGTTTAATTCATAGGTTGACAGAACTAGGAGTAGATATCAGCCAAATATCCTAGACCTGGAGCTAAATACATTAACCAGATCACTGCATTCCTGTCCCTGGGGAGAGGATATGGATATATTCTGGTTACAGAGGGAGGAATTTCACTATATTGTTAGGAACATTTTAAAAATTTCATGCATAAGGATAAACTGTATGTTGGCTAGCCAAGGACCACGTTGTAAATTTTGCCTGTACAACTTTCATTTTCCCTTTTTCTGTAACATCCTCTAATTTCCCTTTGAGAAACAATGACTTCCTTTATGTCTGTGCAAATAGCACTGTTAACCAAAGTGTCTTTCCTTCTTTTGATCAGGAGGTCATGACCCTACCTAGACCAATTAGGCTCTTTCTCCCAGGAATCTGACTCTTATATGAAGTGTTGCAAAAATATGGGGAATATGATCCAAAATTCTGGGGGTACCACAAAGAAAATGGTCCTTAGCTCCTGCTCTAGTTTCTATCGTTTCTGAAGTGTGCTGCTTCAGCTTATTTTTCAATGGTGTGGCTGCCCCACACCTTTTCTTAATAAACTTCTACCTAACCACTCAAACCACTGTTTCTTCATTTGTAAAAATGTGGCTAACACTGGCCTGACGGTGGCCAGTATAAATAATAAATGAGATATTCATTCACTTATTAAAATGTATATATTTTAAAAAACATATCTTTATTGATTTCAAGGGGTGAGGGAGAGAGAGAGATAGAAACATCAATGATGAGAGAACTGTCCTTGATCGGCTGCCTCCTACATGCTTCCGACAGGGAATCAAACCGCAATCTCCTGGATCCTAGGTCAATGTTCAACCACTGAGCCATGTCCGCCTGGGCCACTTACTAAAATATTTGAGTGCATACTATTGACCAGGCCTGTGAGGATATGGAAATAGAAGCTACAACCCCAAAAGTGAGGGGTGAAAGAGCAGGGGCCATGACAGACTGCACGGAGATGTGACCTGGACATTCAATGAAGGGATGACCTCTGACAAAAGGGACGTTTCCTCCACTGCACTGGACTGAACCACACGACACTGGCAATATTCAACCTTTTTGACCCATAACAGCAACTATTTCATATGGTTAAACCTGGTAGTAGAAAGGAAATAGGAGAAAGCAGCTACAAATGCAGACAGGTTTATGATTTAAGGTGAGAATTAGAAGAAGCTATTTTAACCCAGCTTATTTGTATGTAAAATGCCTAGAATACTAGACACTTGATAGTTTCTTTGGCATAGATTACTCTTTGAAATGTTTGTGGAATCTGCATTCCTAAAGAATTTTGTAAAGAGAAACATTCACCTTTTTTGGGTATTCTTGGTGCTGTGGGGGTCAGGGGGGAGTGCTAATCTTTAATTCTCCAACTTATCTTTCTGCACAACTTAAACCTGCCAAAATACTGGATTTTTTAAATCCTCAAAAATATTTAAAGAACTAGGAGAGCCTATTCAGAATCAGGATAAAAGAGAAAGCCATGCTCAATTTTTAAAATAAACTAAAAATAAAATCAAAGAATTTATAAACCCAATTGAACATTGAGAACAAGAGCAGAGACAAGGCACAGGAGTGGCTTTAAAAATGCTGTTCTATAATTTAAAACGCTGTTTCTTTAAATGCTGCCTTTAAACTACCACTGGTTGCTCTGGAAAGGTCTGGATAGACTTCTGTTAGATTTAAGAACCGATCCTGCAGGATTACTGGGGATGGTGTTCTGCCTGTATCCTCAGCCTGGTCAGCACCGTCCCAGGGTGAATGTCTAGTACTGTGGTACTTTACATGGCGAACCACGCTGGCACATGACACTGTCATCAGCTCAGATCAGCTTAAAGCCTGGGCAGGTGTGTCTGGATGGCAGAACCTAAGTTACAAGACAGGATGACAAAATAAGTCCTTGGCATTTTCAGCTTCTGTGGAGGGAGGAGTCTCTGCCTCAAACCGAAAGTGAAAGATGAAGAATTCTCCAAACACAGGAAGAGGGTTCAGATTCTTAGTGTTTAAATGACTAACAGATTTTCAGCCCTGACCAGTGTAGCTCAGTTGGTTGGGTGTCGTCCTGTGCCCTGAAAGATTGCAGGTTTGATTCCTGGTCAGGGCACATGCTGGGGTTTCAGGCTCAATCCCTGGTAGGGGGCATGCAGGAGGCAGCCCATTGATGTTTTGCTCTCACATCGATGTTTCTCTCTCTCTCTCCCCCTCTAAAAATCTTTATTAAAAAAAAAGCCTAATAGGTTTTCAGTATAATACTTAATACATTCCAATGACAAAAGATATACACAGGGTACTGAGACGAGTAAAAAATGGGCTTCCAAATAGGTGATAAAAGTCGCACCTGTAGACAGTTATATAAAAATCTTTGGTACCCCTCTGGCCGGTAATGCTCAGTGGTTAGAGCATGGGCCCTGTGCACTGAAGGGTCTCAGGTTCAATTCCGTCAAGGGCACGTACCTGGGTTACAGGTTTGTTCCCTGGCAGGGGGCTCAAGTGCGAAGCAACCAATATGTGTGTCTCTCTCACATCAGTGTTTCTCTCTCCCTCCTGCCCTCTGTTACATTCTCTCTAAAAAAGAAAAAGAAAAAATCAATGAAAAAAATCCAACAGAATACATAATTATAACCATACCTTGTAATAACGGAAGTAGTCTCGCTCTTGCAGTTTCTTAATTTTGGGGAAGATCTTGAAGGTGTTAAAGTTATCGATGCTATCAATATCACACAAACAATCATCCAGGACTCCGATGACCTAGAAAAAAAAAAGTATATATAAAATTTAAAATAAGTAAATGATGTTTGAACCTTAACAAATCTGTACTATTACATAAAAATATAATTTATACACTCAATTAGCTAGTATTTGCTAATTAAGATACATAACAAAGTAGTCCCTTTTTACTATGGTCAAGTCAATAAAAAACAACAGAAGAATTAGCTATACCAATTCTAAAGAATTAAACAACTAAACGTTGTTTAGTGGTCAAAAAGAAGGATATTGAATGCTCTTTCCCATGCATCAACACACACCGAATCCAAGCAGTTGCCCTGGCGGCAGGCTCAGTTGGCTGGAGCTTTGTCCCATTCACCAAAAGGTTGCGGGTTTGATCCTCGGTCAGGGCTCGTACAGGAGGAAATCGAGGGATGCTTCTCTCTCATATCCATGTTCCTCCCTCCCTCTCTCTCTCTAAAAACCAATGAAAACACGTCCTCAGGGGAGGATAAAAGTCCACGCAGTTGCTGGGCTGCTAAAGCAGTTTCTTCCGAGGCTGACCTAGAAGTCACCGACTGAAATAATGTGGCCACAGGAGCTCTCCCTCAGACTGCCGTTTGTGGGCAGGTGACAGGCATGGTGCTGAGGGCAGCGCACATGCTACCGCATCCTCTAAATGCTCAATGAAATAGGTATTAGCTCCACTTTACATACAAGGAAATTAAGGCTTAGCAAGGTTAAAATAATTTTCCAAAGTAGGAACGAGACTTAGTCACAAGTCTGTCGCACTTTAAAGCACATGCTCTTATTCACTAAAGTATATGTTAACTGAAGAAAAACTGGTATTTACAAAGTGAGTACAAAATCCCATACAACATTCAGCTGAATTTTAAAGTGGGACTCACTGACATGCACAGCTTGGACAAAGCTTCAGGGAATTATGCTGAGTGAAAAGCACTAATCCCCCAAAAAGTTCCATACTATGTGGTTTCATTTTTGAAATGTCAAATTTGTGGAAAGGGAGCACAGATAACTGGTGGCAGGGCTTAGGGACTGGAGCCGGGGAGGGAGCTGGAGTGGAGACCCGCAGGAGGGAGGTGTGGCTATAAAAGGGCAATAGGAAGGATCCCTGTGGTGACGCTGCTCATCGCCTGGGCTGTGGTGGATAAACAAACCCACACATGTGATGAAAGGGATGGAACTCACACATCATTCACCAATGCATGACACAATGCGACACACAGAACGGGAGTCTGAATAAGAGCCGTAGATGGTGTCAATGCCCTGGTTATACTATTATTTTGTATGTTTACAAAATGTTACCATCGGGAAAAATTGGATAAAGGGTACCTGGCACTTCTCTGTACTATTTCTTAAAACTGCATGGAACCTGCACTTATCTCAATTACAGTTGAAATGTAAAAACAAAATGTGACTCAGCCTGTTACAGGTTACTCAGGTGACCCAATACAAGGAATACGCAAAGAATGACCAGAAAATGGAAACCAGTCCTCCCCAGTGGTTTCTTTCTCATGCTTTCCCCCCAGGGAGTAAATATGTGTCCCCAAACCCGTGACAGAGTGTCAGAACAGTAGTTGTTATCAAGAATTTGGCCCTGGAATTCTACGTGCTTTGCTAAGATCCTGTGGCCAGCTCTACCGAATTTCATTCCACTGCTCTAGCCAACTACCTAGAAAACTTCAATTCCAGCCCCCTAATAGGACAAAAAAATACAAACCAAAACACTTTCTAGGTTTTAAAAACATTTTATCCAGCAATTGTGCCTTCTTGTGACTTTTTCTTAAACTGTTGCCTTTTAGTTAGTAAATTACCATATTTTGTTTTATTTAAAAATATTTTAATTATGGTAGGGACTGGGGTAAGATATACAAAATTACCATGTACATATTTCTAACTTAAAAACTACTACTAAGACAAAAACCTATGTATCACCAGACTTTAAAATTTCCCCCTTAATTACAGTCATCTCCCTCCCTTGGGGGTAAAAAGTATTATTTTTGTTAATTTATTTATTTTCTTTGTAATTTCATCATATATGATATATCCCTAAACAATATACTTCGAGGTTTATTTTTCTGTTTTTGAACTTCCACTTGAAAGGAATCTGATGTGTGGATTCTTCTGCAGTGTGCTTCTTTGCTAACATTTTATTTTCACATCTATCCAAGATGATGATTTTTATAGTAGAGCATTCATTTTCCCTGCTGTATTATATAAAAATATCAGTTTCTTTCTTTTATTGTTGATCCCTATGCTAGGCAGAAAAATGGCCCCCAAAGATGCCCATGCCCTAACTCCTGAAACCTGTGAATTTACCATTTTACATGGCAAAAGAGATTTTTGCAGATGTGATTAAGTCAAAGATGGTAATATTATACTGAATTTTTTTCATTTTAAAATTATTTTTATTTTTCAATTACAGTTGACATGATACTAGCTTCAGGTGTACACCCCAGTGATTAGACATTACATAACTTACTAAGTGATCACCCTGATAAATCTCCCACCATCTGACACCATGCAGTTACTAGAATATTACTATGTTCCCTGTGCTGTACTTTACATCCTCATGACTATTTGGTAACAACCAATTTGTGCTTCCTAATCCCTTCACCTTTTTCACCCAGCCCCCAACCCTCTCCCATCTGGCAATCGTCAAAATGTTCTCAGTATCTATGAGTGTGTCTCTATTCTGCTTGTTCCTTTGTTTTTTAGATTTAATTGATAGATATGTATTTATTGCCATTTTATTGTTCACATTTTTTATCTTTTTTTCATCTTCTTCTTAAAGAAGACCCTTTAACGTTTCATATAATACTGGCTCTGAATGATGGTTGTTCTGTAGCTGAGCTGTCGTTTTGATGTGACTCTGGGAGGAGGTGAGTACCGCATTTACCTACCCTGCCATCTGGCCCAGGAGTCCTTATCCTGAATTGTTAAGAGACGAAGTTTAAGAGTCAGTGACATACAGAATGATGCTACACTGCTGGCTTTGAAGATGGAGAGAGGCCACAAGCCAAGGAGTACAGTGCCTCGAGGAGCTTGGAAAAGGCAAGGAGGGAGCCTCCAGAAGGAATGCCCCCTTGCTGACCCTTGATTTTAACCCTGTAAGACCCATTTTCAGAATTCTGGCCTAGAGAACTATAAGATAATAAGCTTATGTTGTTTGAATCCACTAAATTTGTGGTTATTTGTTACGGCATCAATAAAAAACTAATATAATCTACATTTAGGTTGTTTCCAGATTTAGCAAAAGATCAATGCTATGCACACATTTTTGTGCATATCTCCCTATAGATATGTAAGAGTTTCTCCGGATTATATGCTTATGAATGGAATTACTATAGGTTCAGTTTTACTAGAGAATGGCAGGTGTATTTCCAAAGTAGTTGTACCAATTCACAATCCTACCAAGAGTGGATGGGAATTACCATTGAGTCATATCCTCACCGATACTTGTTATTAACCTAGGCTTTATTTTTTTTGCCAATCTAGTAAAAATGAAAGGGTATCTGCTATTTTTATTGCACCAATGAGGTACAATGTTCTTATGCTTTATAAGACATTTGTATTTCTTCTTGTGTGAAGTGTCTGTTCATGTCTTTTATTGGGTTCTTTTTCATGTTAACACGCAGGACGCAGGACTACTTTTTCTCTGTTCTATCCTGTCCTTCTGGAACTCCAATCAGACATGTCAAGCCTTCTCTTTCTATTCTCCATGTTTCTTAAATTCTTGAATATTTACTATCCGATATCTCTGGGCTTCATTCTGAATAATTTATTTTACAGTCATTTATTTATTCATTCAACATATTTACTGGAGGCCTGACATAAGGCTTGCACTGTTCTAAGTGCTGGAAATACAGAATTAGAAGAAAGGTGGGGGGGGTGGGACAGACAAAAGTCTCTGCCCTCCAGGACCATACAGTCTCATAAAAGGAGAGAGAAAACCATGAATGAGCAAAGTACAGAGTCTGGCAGGTGATAAACGAGTGACATAGAAGAAAACCAGAAAATGGACCAGGTTTCACACAACTGGGGCTGCTACCATTTGCAGGGGTATTAAGGAAGGGCTCATGGCGTCTGGCAGGACATGAAGGTGAGAAGAAGGCAAGTCGTCCTTTTCCTGTGGGCAGGGGACACATTCCCCACACTGGGAGCACTAAACTTGAAGGCCCCGTGGCAGTAAGCCGGCACCATGTTTTTGAGGAACAAAGAGGAGGTCTATGGCCCTGGCCGGTCTGGCTCAGTGGTTAGAGAGTTGGCCAGTGGACTGGAGGGTCTTGGGTTCAATTCTGGTCAAGCGCATGTACCTGCGTTGCTGGCTTCTCCCCAGCCCGAGTCAGGGCATGCGCAGGAGGCAACCAATGGATGTGTCTCTGTCATATCGATGTTTCTCGCCCCGC